AGTCATTTATTGCTAGGGCTGCCAGCTGGTCCTAGCAACCAATGACCATCGGGGTCCCCCTCCTCTGCAGTCATTTATTGCTAGGGCTGCTGGCTGGTCCTAGCAACCAATGACCATCGGGGTCCCCCTCCTCTGCAGTCATTTATTGCTAGGGCTGCTGGCTGGTCCTAGCAATCAATGACCTTCGGGGTCCCTCACCTCTGTAGTCATTTGCTAGGGCTGCTGGGTTGTTCTAGCAACCAATGACCTTGGGGTCCTCCTCCTTTGCAGTCATTTAGTGCTAGGGCTACCGGCTGGTCCTAGCAACCAATGACCTCATGGGGTCCTCCTCTGCAGTCAGTGGTTGCTAGGACTGCCAGGCACCCCTCCAAGGTAGCACCAAACACTATGACCTTGAAAGGGTAGGTGTGTGAGAATTTAGGTCAGAGAACCTGCATGGTCATCAAGGCTGCAAGATTAACCAACATAACAAACATGGAATCCAGAGTGACAATCAGGATGGAAACCTCAGCAGCCTGCTGTACTAGGGCCACTTTTTAAAGAAGTCCTCTGCAAAGAGATACAAGACTGAGAAACACTTGGGGCAGGCATATGAGAAAACCCTGGAAGAGCACTTGGGTTTGTTGGAGCAGCCACTTTACTAGACGAAGGGCCAGATCGGGACTTAAAACTTAAGCTCCCAAGAATCACCTGAATGAGACCTACATGTTTGTTAGGATAGGAGATGTACCACCTGTTCCCATTCACAAAGGAAGGACTTCTCCCTCAGAGGCAGGTATGGCCGAGCCCGTCTTCCAGCTCAGTAAGGCAAGATGGCACTCCAGCACAGAGCATCTTCTTACAAGATTTGGGATATTCTGCCATCAACGGGAGCTCACTGGAAGGATGATGATGTCTCACCTAGGTGCCGCAGGCAGGAGCATGAGGAAAGCTATTACATTTTTTGTTTTTTATTTTCATGTGGCTATGTATTATGGGAGAGAGGACTATAATATAATAAGTGGAACTTGCTTTGCAAGACGTGGTGTAAAGACTAAATCTCCCACTGACACCCGGAGCAGCTGTTGGTCATGATGAAATGTATACTGGTTACCTAGCTGTGATGTTCCACTAACCTCTGTATACAGCAAACCTTTGTGTTCATGACGTCTTGTAATGTTCTGTTATTACTGTCTGCCCTGTGTTTTAAAGGAGCAGTACATTATATTTTAACGTTATACTGTATTAAAAGAATAAAACTGGTATAAGGTAGAAGAGGAAGTGTGGTCTGCCACCCAGAATGGGGTGATGTTTATTATGTATTCAGGCAAGTGGTTACATCTTAAAGATGCGTTCAAGTACCCGAACTATTAACAATACTGGACCTTATTTATGTATCACTGGGCTGTAGATCCTCAAATCATCTCTGAATTGGTGCTGACTCTGTCCTTCCTTCTGGAGGGTGGCTACTTTTGTTCCCCATGGTCCCTGTGTGTGTTGTAAAGTAGTCACCGCTCCAAGCTCGCTCCTGTCCTGGACTACAATGTCAATACAAATGAGTAAACTAAACATGAGACTGTAGTCCATCACAGGAGCGAGCTTGGAGCGGTGCAAACTTTGCTAAGGTGAACATGACAGTAGAAGGTGATATCAAAATGCCAACTGAAAGAGAATCCCATAAACCATCGTGCCAGTGTTCAGATGTTCAGTGTGTTCAGTGAGAAGTCCGGACACTTGTAACTGAAGCAAAGGGATGCAGGCACGTCATGTTCGGTTTACATTCCTGCTTTCCCTCCAGTGCTGATTCCGAGAACCACCATTGAAAGGCCAAGTTGCGCTCAATACACCACATGGTATGTTCCGGGGACTCCATAGCAATAGGACACCATTATGTCTCCACCAAACACCCGGAGGCAATAATCAGACGTAATGGCTCCAGTCCTGTTGGTGTAACAGCACCGTACAACCATGTGCTGTCCGCCTGTACAAAGAGTATTTATTACAGGTATGTATATAGTGCCAGCAATTTACATAGTCGCACATTGACATCAGTCCCTGCCCTCAAGGAGCTTACAATCTAAGATCCCTATCTCACATGCATTTTTTTTTTTTATCGAAGACCGTGGACGTGCATCAAAACAAACTTCCCCCTGTGAACAAAAAAAGTGAACCGTGAAATCACAGCACACAAAAACGTGCACAAGGGTGCAAGGTCCTTCCAAAGAAGGGACCTACTTTCCCGACCCCCCGGGGCGCAAGGCTCCTGACGGGTTGAGACTGTCGGACCACCAACCCGAAGGCCAATGGACCATTTCCGTCGGGGACCTGGCGAAACAGGTCCCTCACAGTACTAACCGGGAACCCCAGTGCTGAAAGGCACAATGACCAACCACTACGCCACTGTGCTGCATATACACGGAGGGATCTACATACCTGTACAGCCGTGTCTTCAGCCAGCCTGTCATTGATTTGTACACGCCGGCTGTACACAGCTGTACAATGCACTTGTCACTCCCGGCAAGAGAAATACGCTGGCATGTGAGCTGTACGGCCCTCTGAAAGAACCCTTCACATAGAACTCCTTATTGAAAAGGCTACAAAAAGAAAAGTTCTAACTCGAGGTGCACCAACGTGACATTTTGAAACCGGATCCGAAAATATATTTTTTTTTCTAACCTTTTTCATTTTTTAAATATTTTATTATTTATTATATTAAATATTTGTATTTTTGACTTTACTGTTGGGGGCTTCGAGGAAATAGTGGGGGTCTAAACAGACCCCTGACATTTCCCTTTTACAATAGAAAAAGAGAATGAGGACACAGAGTCCACAATGTGTTATTCTGCAGCCTCCGTTATCAATGAACAGGAATCATCTATACTGAGTGGGGAATTGATCAAATCTGGAGCAGCTGTGCCTGGCAACCAATCAGCTTCTCTCTTTCCTTTTCAAATCTTAACTGACCAAACTGGAGAGAGAAGCTGATTGGTTGCCATGGGCAACTGCTCCAGGTTTTGTCTGCTCCAGTTTTGATAAATTCCCTTCTGAGTGTTGCTGATCATTAGTATATTTGCTATGTCCACAATCATGAATGAACAGGAGGTGATGTTCTGTTCGCTCTGTAAATGTTTGACAAATTCCCCTCTAACAGGGTGATTCACAAAAGGGTGAAGAGTTTGGAGCAGGACGGAGGAGAGAACAATCTAGGACAATAAAGCTGAACTGGAAAGTGAGCTGAATTGGGGAATTTTTCCATATCCGCTATGTTGTCCTAGATTGTTCCCTTCTCCAAACCCCTCACCCTTCTGTGAATAGCCCTCTTGGTGTTTAGCTTTAAAGGAGAACTATGAGATGAGTGATTTCCACTCACCTCATAGTTCTAGCCGACCTGTGACAATGAGACTGTCACAGGTCGGCTCAGAAGATCGGGAGGTGAGCGAACACATACCCGGTTCGCTCACCTCTCACCGCTGGATTCCCCCCTCCCCGATCCTCCAGCGCTGACTGGCGGAACGGACGGGGGATGGGGCGGGTACAGCTGGCTCTGCCTCTAGATAGGCAGAGCCAGCTGTCACTCACGCAGCTGGGCGGATCTCGACATCGATGTCGGGATCCGCTCCGGCGTCTCAGTATACCACGAGCTGTAGCTCGCGGTATACTGAGCTTAGGGTGACGGGAGGACGCTAGTTTGTGTCCTCCCGTTACCCTAAGGAGAACTATGGGGAAAAGACTTAACCCCATAGTTCTCCTTTAAGGTCAGTCTGTCACAAAGTCAAACACCAATCAATCTTTAGATGTTGCTCTCATTGCAGTAAAGCCAAAGCTAGCTACACAGTTTAAATATGATTTGTGTTACCAGTCAACAGATTGTGTTCAGCCAGCCTTGTGATTTACCCACCCCCTACCACACTTCACAGCCAGGCAGCTCTGGCCTGCTCACTGGTTCTGTGAATGGAATGATTGAACACAACCTCTGTCCAATGGGCAGGAAGTTGACCCAGAGTCATTTTGCTGACTATGCATTGCAGCAGAGATGTCAATCACATACATGAGCTGAACATCATGTATGTATAAATCATATATAAGTGCATGTTAGTACAAATCACATAGGCCGGTATATATCCTTTTCCTTTTTTAATAGCACAATGAAGCGCACCCAAAGCCAAGTCATAGTTACTAAAAGATGTTTTGTTACATTTATGGGATTATTCAGTAACGTGCCCAAGTGGAGGTGAGGAGCAGCAAAGCACACCACTCGGATAGAAATGAAAGCAGAACTCCAGGTAATAATGTAATTAACCCTTGCAGTGGGAATACCCCGGCACTGCTAGGGTTAAGTGCTCGTTTTTTGCCTAGGGTCCCTCCAGCCTGTCTCCTCCTCTGCTGCAGCGAAGGTATATCTCTCAGCGTCCTCATGTCCTATACACAGTGTATAGAATGTGAGGGGGAGAGATGCACCAGGGACCGGTCTAAGAGCCGGCTGGCTCAGAGAATTGGGTGCGCAGAGCTTTTTTATTTTTGACCCTAGGAAAAACGAGCACTTAACCCTTGCAGAGCGGAGGTAGCCCCACTACAAGGGTTAGAGGAGCAGTCCAATAGTAAAGCGCTCTCTGGGTGGGGGGGGCGGTTGTTGACGCAGGGGAAATGAGGATCGATTGGCGTTGTGCTTCCTGTTAGTGCGGACCGGGGTGTCCGACTAGTGTAGCAGAAGAAACAAAAATGGGAGGGGAAGCGCCACGGCCAAGCAAAGACCTATGACAGGGTGGACGTCCACCTCGTGGAAGGTATTGTTTTGGATAGGTTCATCAACCCGCCCATCCGTAACACCAGCGTTCCAAAACAATACCTACCCGACTGAGTTTTCCACAAAGTGGACATCCACCCTGCCATAGGTTTGGCTGTGGCGCTTCCTCTCCCATTTTTGTTTCTTCTGCTACAAGGGTTAATAACATTTTTACCCGGAGTTCTGCTTTAGGACGAAGTCACACAATGCGATTGTTTGCTAGTCAGATTCCTCTTTACCTTCTTCAGCGTAGACCTTTATTTACTATGGATCTGCAAAATGATCCACTGGAAATATTAACTTTCTATAACGAACTTGGTGTCCTCGATTTTTTTCATCAGCCCTTTGCTGGACAGTGTTAGCTCAGCATGGCGACGCTTCAGGCTCTCCAGTTTCTGATGGAGCTCCTCGGTGGCATCAACTTTCTCCTCAAAGTCTCGAAGTAGAGTCTTGTTTCCGAGCAGCCCACATTTCTGCTTCAGATTCAGGTTGTCCGTCCTCAAGTTGTCTCTGGCCTGCTTCGTTCTGGTTAAAATGTCCCTCCCGTGAGCCACTAAAGCCTCGATTTCCATAAGTCTGTCCTTCTGCTCTTGGTTTTCGGCCTGCACAAACTGCAGCTTCTCTTTCAGGTGAGTGAGCACCTGCACGGTGTTGGTAATTTTCTTTCTCAGTTTCAGGAGCTCCTCGTTTCTCTCCTCCACCTTCTCGTTGTAGGTCTGATTTTCGATTTTAAGCTGCTCAAAGTCGATGAGGTGCAAACCTTCGGCTAGCTCTTCTTTGGAGCGCAAGGTAGATTCGTGGCGGTGGATCTGGTTCTTGAGTTTGATGTTCTCAAGTCGGACCTGTATTACTTCCTTCTCCTTGCGCTCTTCCTTGCCTTGGAGTTCTTCCACTTCTTGGGTGAAGGAAGATGCCGCGCGCTTTCCGGCACCTCGGTTAACTATGTATAAAGCGATCTTCTTCTTCTGCTCTTGGAAAGCGGCCCACTCTTTATCCACTTGGCCTACCACTTCCTGGCACTGAACCCTGAGCTTTTCAATCTGTCCCTCGTGCAGAATGGTGTCCGCTTTGAATTTCTTCCTCATGTCTTCCAGCGTGGCCAGGTACTTCAGGTAGCGCTGTTCTTGGTCGGAAACTTGCTTCTCGATCTCTGGCCGAGTTTCTTCTCCTTTCTTTCGCCGGAAGTACTCGTAGAGCTTGTGTTGGAGCTGAGAATTCTGCTGCTGGACCTTCTCCTTTTCTGAAGCCAGTGCTTGGTACTGTTGGATCAGAGCTTCTCGGACCTGTTCATCTTCATGGGTCTCACCTGAGCTGTCTTGGGGCTCAGTGTCTTGCCCCCATTGCTCGGGCTCAGCTTCATTTTGCTCCCGTGCTTCTAGTTGAGATTGGGGGCCCTCCTGCTCCTCAGGAAGCTCACTAGGTGTTTCTTGATACCTCGCTGTGACCTCATTGTCTGCATCATCAGTCACTTTCCTCTCCTCCTTTTCTTCGAGGGGCGTATCAAGTTCAGTAGAGGGCTCGGCACTGGTCAGTTCTACCTTCTGCTGTTCTGTCGAACTGTTCTCCTGATCTATGTCACTCCTTCCCTCTTCTTCACCCTCCTCTGCTTCCATTAGTCCATTGGTGGCAGGCTCTTGATCAGTGGTACCGGCCTCTCCAGTGATCGCCTCTGTGGTGTCAGACTGTCTATCTGTCTCCTGATTGGAGGTTTGTTCTCCATGGGTCTCTAGATTGGTGGTACCAGGTTCTCCAGCAGTTACTTCGGTGGAGCCACTATCCAGATTTGTAGGATGCTCTCCAGGGCTCACTTGATTGGTGGTTCCTGGTTCTCCGGCAATTACTTCGGTGGAGCCGCTATCCAGATTTGTAGGATGCTCTCCGGGTCTCACTTGATTGGTGGTACCAGTTTCTGCAGCAGTCACTTCAGTGGTGCCACTCTCCTGACTGGTGGCATGCTCTTTGTGGGCATCTTGATTGGTGGTACCAGTTTCTGCAGCAGTCACTTGGTTGGTGCCACTCTCCTGACTGGTGGCATGCATTCTGTCAGGCTCCTGAATGGTGGTACCAGGTTCTCCAGCAATCACTTCACTGGTGCCACCGTCCTGAGTGGTGGCATGCATTCTGTCAGTCTCCTGGCTGGTGGTGCCAGGCTCTTCAGCAATATAAGGCTGCCTTCCAGTCTCCTCACCGGTGGCAGGTCCTCTGTCAGTGTCACCATGCTCTCTCTTAGCCTCATGACTGGTACCAGGTTCTGTGCCAGCCTGTGCCTCATTTCTCTCCGAGCCGGTACCGGGTTCTGGTGTCTGCATAGCTCTCGCCCAAGCTCACCGCTTCTGTATTCAGGCGTCTGTAGCGTCACCATGGAGACGGCGGGCGGGGTCAGCACCCGGCACTAGCGAAAGACTACGAGTGGCGTCACCGCCCACCCTTTCCCTCCCTCTCCCAATCTCAGCGCGGCCGCGCAAACACGGCCTATCATACGCCAGGTCGCCGCGCTCCCGCCTCAGGCGCACGCGCACGGCGAACCGAGGAAGCGCTGGGCGGGGCTTAGTGGGTCGAGTTCCAACAACAGCTCGGCGGCCAAGATGGCGGACCTGGGCAAGAAGTACTGCGTCTACTGCCTGGCCGACGTGACCAACCTGCGTCTCCGCTGCACGGAATGCCAGGACATCGAGCTGTGCACCGACTGCTTCTCGGCGGGAGCGGAGATCGGCAATCACCGGCGGTGGCACGGGTACCAACTAGTGGACGGCGGACGATTTACGCTATGGGGCCCCGAGGCGGAGGGAGGCTGGACGAGCAGGGAAGAGCAGCTGCTGCTCGATGCCATCGAACAGTTCGGCTTCGGCAATTGGGTGAGCTTGGTGTGCTAGTGTCCTGGGAGAACTGCAATTCCCAGCATTCCTTGCAGCGGGGGGAGGGGGGACTTCCTGTGACAGTAAAGGGAGAATTGTCAGCCACTTGTAGCTCTCTGTTTTATATCAGTGTCTGAAATAAGAACTGCTAGTGTTGCACTAGGGCCTGTGCATTTTTCTTTGCATGTTAACATGCGTTAAGTTGGGTCATATGAATGGGCCGAAAGGTCCAAATTTAACCATGCACCATTTTTTTTGTAATGCAACCCATGTTAGTGTTACTGTGTGTTTTTTGTATGCAGCAATGCATGTGCATTCGAGTTCTGTTGTCCTCAAAACGAATGGAACATCAACTCGCTAGCGTGTAATGTACGTTCCCGCAGTGCACCACCCTGGAAAGGTGGAAAAGGGCCATCGTGTTGCGTCAAGCTGTCCATTCAAATCAATGGGATGCTAGGGTGCCGGATCTCTATCTTTCTGACGCAGTGCACAGTGATGCACTGTAGTGTGTTGTGGTGCGCTACTATGCATTGTGGCGTGCTGCAACACAGGTCAATAGATGTCCTGTCTTGGTGCATTGGGCTGCCATAGAAATAAATGGCACGGCCATGGGCTACCATTGAAAATGAAATGGCGCTGCGATGGGCTGCCGTTGGAAAGGAAATGGCACAGTGTTGGGCTACCCTTGAAAATGAAATGGCACGGCGGTGGGCTGCCGTTGGAAAGGAAATGGCGCGGCGGTGGGCTGCCGTTGGAAAGGAAATGGCGCTGCGGTGGGCTGCCGTTGGAAAGGAAATGGCGCTGCGGTGGGCTGCCGTTGGAAAGGAAATGGCGCTGCGGTGGGCTGCCGTTGGAAAGGAAATGGCGCTGCGGTGGGCTGCCGTTGGAAAGGAAATGGCGCTGCGGTGGGCTGCCGTTGGAAAGGAAATGGCGCTGCGGTGGGCTGCCGTTGGAAAGGAAATGGCGCTGCGGTGGGCTGCCGTTGGAAAGGAAATGGCGCTGCGGTGGGCTGCCGTTGGAAAGGAAATGGCGCTGCGGTGGGCTGCCGTTGGAAAGGAAATGGCGCTGCGGTGGGCTGCCGTTGGAAAGGAAATGGCGCGGCGGTGGGCTGCCGTTGGAAAGGAAATGGCGCGGCGGTGGGCTGCCGTTGGAAAGGAAATGGCACACTTGTGGTGAGACTGAAAAAAGTGGTGCATGCACATCTTTTTTTTTTTTTCCAATCGCAACGCACGGTATTGCGGCACCACATATTGCGGCGAGGTCGATCTCTTCACAGATGGGAAGTGCTTTTGGGGTGCCATTCAAATGAATAGTGTGGCAACTTCCACACTGTGAAGGTGCGTAGAACAGTACCTTGCCTTAAAGGAGAACTATGAGGGGAGTGATTTTCACTCGGACTCAATCTGAGCCGACGAAACTGTCACAGGTCGGCTCAGTAGATCGGTAAGTGAGCGAACACATAACGTCGCTTGTTCACTTCTCGATCTATCCCTGCAGAGAGCCGTGACTGTCACTCATGGCTCCCTGCAGGGATTCCCCCCTCCCCTGTCCGATCCTCCAGCGCTGACTGGCGGAACGGATAGGGGAGGGGGTGGGCACAGCTGGCTCTGCCTCTGAGACGCTGGGGCGGATCCCGACAATACTGTCTGGATCCACCCAGCTGCGGCGTCTCAGTATACCGCAAGCTGTAGCTTGCGGTATACTGAGCCTAGGGTGACGGGAGGACGCTAGTTTGTGTCATCCGGTTACCCTTAGGAGAACTATGGGGAAAAACACTGACCCCATAGTTCTCCTTTAATCACATGGAACCTGTGAAAACGGGCCCTAATAGTAAATATTGGCACTTTTTTTTTTTTTTTTTTTGGGGGGATGTGGAGGAAAACTTTACACAGCATTGTGCACATTTCTTATAGCCAGATCGATTTGCTGCAGTTGTTTTCTGCAAAACAATTTTTTTTTTTTTTTTTTTGGGGGGAGGACAGAGGAGGACTGGGTAAAGCTGGGGGCAGGAAGACTTTGTCACTGGTTGTTAGGATCACCCAGCAGTCCTAGCAACCAATGACTGCATAAAAGGAGGACCCCAATGTCATTGGTTGCTAGGATGCCAATGGTCCTAGCAACCCAGGACTGAAGAGAAAAGTGCAGCTGTCTGCATTCCTCCTAAACAAGAGAATTCGGGAGCTTGTTTACCCAATTCAGGAGCCAGTGAGACTTTTCAAGGAGCCAGCTCCATTGACATCTAGAGAAAACCTTAGAAGTTGGGCACCAGCTTTAATATTTAAGGAGGATTGGCTACCTGGCTCCCGGGACTTGTCCAGTCCTACATTAACATTCTCTGAGAAAGTGAAACTGCAGATGTAGGGTGTAACTTCGGATGCCTCAGCACCACACAGATCCAGTATTTATATAGTTTCTTATTGCCCATAGAGCTGTCAGTTCTGGGTGTCTGATACCCAACATGGGAACCATCTCATTTCTGTACATACCTTCAGGGCCCATTCACACCGTCTGCGTTGGAGCTGCGCTAGCCGTTGTTTCTAGAGCAGCCCCAACGTAAGACAAGGCAATTTACATAGTCATGGATGGTGTCCATTCACACCACCATGTTGTTGTAGGAACGCAGTGGTGTGTGCTGAAAAAAAAAAGTACACAGTGCGATGCGCTGGGATCAGTGCTTCAGCACGGTGCCAGGGCACTGTACACCAGACGCTGTGTGATTAGCGCAGCATCTGGCGTAATGAACCCTTAGAGTTGGGGTAGGCAACCTTGGCTCTCCAGCTGTTGTGGAACTTCAAGTCCCATGAGGCATTGCAAAACTGACAGTTTCAGGCATGACTACCAGAGGAAGAGACATGATGGGATTTGTAGTGTCAGCACAGCTGGAGTGTTACAGTGGCCTAGCCCGGCTTTGGAGGTAGTTGTCATCTGCCGTGAATGGATTTGCAGCATTCATAGTGTAGGTAGTGCTGTATCACAGTCAGTAGTAGACGGCTAATACACACGGGTCAACAATATGTGAGGTGACTGGAGATCTTTATTCTGTTTGCCTTTAATAAGATCTCTCAGCAGCATCACTTTTTACTCTTTTGTGGAGCCACCTGCTCTAAAATCAACAGCTTATCATCCTTGGGCCGGCTTGAGGTGTTGACCCTTTTTGTTATAAATGGACTTCTCCATTCAGATGAAGCTATTCATAAGACAAAGGCCTAGCTGGCTGGAGGTCTTAAAGTAATTGGTGGAAGCTGGGGCAAAGAAGAGAAGTGAGCCATAGCACTGTATGACAGCTGGCTCGTGGTAAAATGTGTGACTAATGCCTTCTGTCTATAGATTAGATTAAGGGTGTGTTGCATGGCCCACCTGCCCATCTACCTGTCATTTAAACCCAAAGGTGTGAGCACAGATTTAGAGCTGCAGTTCCTTTCTTCCTCTATGTTGGGTCCCCAATACATCCAGAGGGTCACACAATAGTTAGTTCCTGTCAATTTGTATTGTTAGTACATTACATCGTAACACACAGGAATCTTGGTCCATAATGTTTAGCTGAGATTGTGAGATTCACGTGGACAGGAAATGGCTCGTTGGTGACATTTTTGCATTTGTTAGACTTCTGAATTCCACGGTTCCAGTTCATGTAAATGTGATCCAAAGCACCCGTATCAAGCTATTGGGACAGGGAATTCTTAACTGATTTATCATATTTCAATGTTTTGGTTTATTTAATGGAGTTTTGGATCCCCCCCCAGCACTCCTGCTAATAGTGATCTGCTTCTGTATGGGGAGGCAGGACAGAGCTTCATTAGTTCTGTTATAGCTGAAGAGGAGCTCTGACTAGTACTAAAGTACCAATGATAACACATCTTCCGTGCATCACATACCTCTAAGTTGGACATGAAATAAAGGCCCAAATGTGGCCACTGTGCCAGATACGAAAGAGGATTTCTGGTGAGTAAGGTTAAAAGGAATCTACCGCTGTAAAAAGTGACTTTATAGTGATCTGCTTTACATTTATCACTTATTCAAAACAGGTTTGCAGATCCGTTCTCATTTACCTGATTTAGGCCTTGTTCACACCAAGCGCGTTCCAGGAGCAGAGCAGTTACAGACCGGATCAAAACTGCGTCCAATGTATTCCAATGGTATTTTGGGCTCTAGTTCACACCTCAGAATTCAGTTCCAGAGCATGTAAAAAAAAGACTGCAGCAAGCCCTATTTTACCTGCTCTGGAACGCATGCAAACTCATCAAAAAAGCATGCAAGCGCCCTGGAGCGCACTGAAAGCCCATTTTAAACTAAAAAAAAAACCGGAACGCATCAAAAACGCGACACAACCCACTGCACTGCGTGTGCAGAAACTCATTGCAGATCTGGTCTGCATTTGGTGTGAACAAGCCCTGAAACTTATTTCCAGGCCAGGGGACTCCATGTAATGAAGCAAGGAAAGGAATAGTGGGCCT